TCTTTGTAAACACTATAATCGTAACATAATCTCATATCTTATTTCTCTACAAGAACCCGCTCTCTCTTCCCTTCTCACTCTTTTGAATTGCCCTTGTCTAGGTGGTGTGTGAGTCCGCGAACTCACAATCCAATAAATACCATCTGTATGTCCAGTGCTCAGTTAAGGGATTATGGAGGGGAATAGAAGGTAATTAAGGTGGAAAAATGTAATTAGGGCTCGATTTGGGCAATTTAGAAAAGAATATCTTTCCATTTTAATAAATTTGGGAGGATGATCATGCAATTAACAAAATAGAACATGAAGTGCTGAAAAAACCAGTGGAATTTTATTAGAAAATCAATATTAAGCACATAAACCTAAAAGAAATTTTAAAACATTAACATGGAACATGGTTAATGTTTTTGGTTTTGATAAATTGGATATGTAAAAATGCTTAATTATATGTAACACATCAAGTCAATAGACTGCTATGAAATTGAATCTAAATTCTTATGGATTCATGGATAGAAATTTCTGTTTTGGCAAATTGGACATGTAAACATGCTAATTTCATAAAATGATATCACATAAACATGTTGTAATCCATTGGAATTAAATGAAAAGTTTTGAAAATAGATGATGAATTTTGAAAAATTGTAGCATAACCCATCAATTCCACAAAATATTTCCAAAAATCTTCTGGTGAACTTTAAAAACAACAGCATGAAACTTGCAAAAAACATATGAAACTTTAAAAGCCTTTGGAAAATTTTAAATTTCATGTAAGAACATAGAATTTTAATAGAAAAATTGAAAAATTCTCATGGTGAAAACAAATTGTATCTTGTTTTGATGTTGAATTCATTAACTTGAAGATCCTCCCTGCCTTGTGCCTTCTTCTTGTGTTATCGGTGGAGAATTGAGAGAATTTTTTGTTTGATGCTTGATAAAGGAGGGAGTGCTTGGCTTTGGGGCTTGGAAAGAAGAATGGAAAGAGAGAGAATAAAGGAAAGTTGAATTCAGGATGAGTGGAGCTCTTGGAAGTTTCAACCAAGATAATTGAAGCAGTGAGGGGAAGGTTTTGGAGAGCAAAAGAGACAAGGAGAATAGATGGCTAAGATTAGGATTGAGGTTAGAATTTTGGAATGGAGGGCTAAGATTCAATGTGATGTGGAGGAGAGAGAGAGAAGGGGGTCATGATCTGATGATGTGGATGAGTGGGAGAGGGAGAGGCAAATTGGCGAGGTAGCGCATCAGGAGAGGTCAAATCTAGGAGAACGAATAGTGAGGATTAATAGGGCAAATTTATAATTTTAGTAATGGAGGAGGGGCATTTTGGTAATTTAACAAAGTTAGTTAGGAAAGTTATGAAAAAAGTACAAGTATAGATAATTTTGAAGAGGAAGAAACAAGGAATCCAATATTTTAAACTGTTTCAAAAAAAAGGGGTTCTCCTTCTCAAGATATGATCAATTGAAGCATTTAGGCAGTTGAAGATGTGGTTACAAGGTGGTTAGGAGTTGGTATGGAAAAAAATTTACTTGAGCTCATTTGATAGCGAAAAAAACTAGGAATTTATTGGTTAGAGTAGTTTTGATTAAGTCAAGCTCTATTAAAAACATGATCAGTCAAAGTGGGCCCAAACACTTAGAATTGAGATAACAGTGAATTTTGAACAAAATTTTAAATTGATTTTATTGATCAAAATTGTGTATTTTTTAATTTATAATAACTTTAATTGAAGTATCAGGTTTATTTGAAGTCATTTTAAGATAGTTATGATCTAATTATCATTTTATTATCAAAATTATCATCTTGTTTCTATTGATTATCATCGGCTCAGCAGACCTCTAAATAGAGCCAAATTTGAGCACGGAGAGACTCATTTGAAAATTTTCCATAATACATACACAATCATAAAGTTTGTTTTCCAAACTAATGAGTGATTAAAATTTTTTACATAGGAATATTTTTCATGGATGCATGGGAACCTTAAGTGCACAATTTTATATAAAAGAGTGTCTGATGTCCACTAAACTAGTTTGTATAAATTTCATATATGAATAGGAAGGACATGTAATTTACATAGTGTAATTTGGATTACTAGATTAACCTGTGAAAAAAAAAATAAAAAAAGTAGGATTTACAATGATAATCGTCATATATGAAAATTTTATTAGAAGAATTTTACATAACAAAATATTTGAAACAATCATCAAATTTATTTGCATGGCATTTATAAGTGCTAATAAGACTTGTGCAACTTTTGGAATGAAGACTTGAATCCTACAATCATCTTAAATAAGAAATAATAATCTCAGGGTTGATTAAAGCTATTTTTAGGCTTATCTCTAAGTGGCAGTTAAAATTGATTATGTTTGAAGATTATTGACTTCATTTGATTTTATTAATTTACAAACTTAGTTTTCTTTAGTTATGTTTTGCTCAAGACCATGCTCAAGTGAAGTCTTGTTAAGATTAAGCCAAGAAAATAAGGTTCACTAAAAATGAGGTCAAATCCTCAGTGCGCCTAACTCACCTCAATATGTTGGACCAACATGAGTAGTTCCTAAGCAATTCCAATTAAGCCATAGACAGATCAATTGGAGACAGATCAATTGGACTTGGATAATGCTTGAACTTAAGTTAGCTCATAGGGTTACCCTTAGGTCTTAGCTTGGGTTAGGTTTAGTTAAGTTTGATTAAGTTTGACTTGGAATTAATTTTGGTTCATGTTTAACTAAATGACACTTAAGTTGAGTCACCAAGTTAATTTCACTTAAACCTAACTTAATTTTAGTTTGTTTTATAAATTTGATTATTTTTTACTTTATGTTAGATTTTTTGTTAAATTATTTTAGCATTAAATTTAGATTAAGTTAACTTGGCTTTAGGTTTAACTTATAATTAAATGATTTTAGTGTTTAGTTTAGTTTAAATTAGATAAGTTTTAGTTTGCTTTAGGTTAGAGTAAGTTCAATTAAGTTTAACTTCATTTTAGTTTTGATTTTAGTTTAAACTAAATCAATGTACAAATTAAATTGAAATTAATTAAGATTATTGGTTTGGGTTAAGATTAGTGAGCTTAGTTTGTGTCTTAATTCAATTTAAGATTTTAAAAATAAGTTAGGCTTTAAACTTGACCATAGTCTTAGGTTTAATTGAACATAATTATAATTAGTTTGAATTAACTTTAGTTTTGCTTAAATTTAGTTCTATTTTGGTTAAATTTGCTCTATGCTCAATTTAGTAATAAGATTAGGTTAGACTTTGGGTTAGATTGGATGATACTTCAATATAATCTCAAGTTTAATTTAAGTTTCAGGTTAAATTAATTTTCAATTTTATGTTTAAACTAGTTATGATTCCAGCCAAACAAACTAAGCCACTCATGCATTAAGAATAAGTAGACTTAACTTGAACTTGTGCACCCCAGGCTCTAAGCAAAACTTGTTTTGGGACTTCTAATTGCAGGAGACAAGCTGGGGTACAATTATAGCTCTCTTGGAACTATAAGAAGAGAATTGAGCAAACTAGACTAAAGCCAGAGAACCACCTATGGGTATTATGAAGGAGTATTAAGCCTAACAGATGGACCGATGATTTGATTGACTTAGGTTGATAAAAAATGAAGTCAATAATTTAAAAAGAAATAAAAGAATCAAGAAACTAAAAAATGTATGGTTGAATACCCTCAGATCAAGCTCAAATAAAAAATTAACAGAACTCGAGCAAGAACTTAAGCTCAATTGAGATATATTCGGCATTAATGAACTCGATATGTGTCCTATTGAGTTCCTTTATCCACACATTGTCATTAGTACTACATGAACATTATATATATATATATAAGGAAATCGGTATTTGGCAGAAGCTCAAATACTGATTTCTCATGCGCTAGGCCTCATGATGAGAGTCCGCGCTATGTGCCAAAATATTCGAGAACTCAGCACCACTGGGGATCGAACCCGTGACCTAAGGGGATTTACAGTGAACCTCGCAACCAACAGGCCACGGCTTGCTGTATATGACACGCACACACACACACACACACACACACACACACACATATATATATATATATCTATATATATACTTTTATGTCGCTTACTATATAGCATGCCTTGAGCCAGCTCAATCCTATAAATAAGAGATGCATTTTCATGGCACTCATCATATCTTTGTAAACACTATAATAGTAATATAATCTCAGACCTTATTTCTCTACAAGCGCACTCTCTCTCTCTCTTCTCTTCTCACTCTTTTGAATTGCCCTTGTCTAGGTGGTGAGTCTGCGAACTCACTCACAATCCAATAAATACCATCTGTATGTCCAGTGCTCAGTTAAGGGATTATGGAGGGGAATAGAAGGTAATTAAGGTGGAAAAATGTAATTAGGGCTCGATTTGGGCAATTTAGAAAAGAATATCTTTCCATTTTAATAAATTTGGGAGGATGATCATGCAATTAACAAAATAGAACATGAAGTGCTGAAAAAACCAGTGGAATTTTATTAGAAAATCAATATTAAGCACATAAACCTAAAAGAAATTTTAAAACATTAACATGGAACATGGTTAATGTTTTTGGTTTTGATAAATTGGATATGTAAAAATGCTTAATTATATGTAACACATCAAGTCAATAGACTGCTATGAAATTGAATCGAAATTCTTATGGATTCATGGATAGAAATTTCTGTTTTGGCAAATTTGACATGTAAACATGCTAATTTCATAAAATGATATCACATAAACATGTTGTAATCCATTGGAATTGAATGAAAAGTTTTGAAAATAGATGATGAATTTTGAAAAATTGTAGCATAACCCATCAATTCCACAAAATATTTCCAAAAATCTTCTGGTGAACTTTAAAAACAACAGCATGAAACTTGCAAAAAACATATGAAACTTTAAAAGCCTTTGGAAAATTTTAAATTTCATTTAAGAACATAGAATTTTAATAGAAAAATTGAAAAATTCTCGTACCCTGGCCAATAGTATTGAAATGCAGTGCCCCCCCCCCACTTGACACATGGCGCTCTGCCATTGGACTCCGAACGAAAATACTGTTTGGAATCTGTCAAATTGGACGTTCATTGACGTAATGCAAGATCAGTCAAAAGTGTTTTAGCATTTTATCAAGTTCTTGATTTAAAAAAAAGAAAAACAGAAGTTAATTAAAAAAAAAAAATTTAAATGCATAACACAATTTCTTATAAATCTACCTATCTCATATCTAAACACTCATATTTACATGCATAACATTTAAATCTTTCATTATATCAAAACTATCAGTATCATGAACTTTTAGAATTGCAATACATTTTTCTATGCATATATTTATATTATAAAAACGTTGTAAATGTAAATATTAAATTTTAAGTATTAGATACGGAAACCATTAATTGTCTCAGTAAAAACCTAGCTGTGGCTCCCTCACGGCTTCTCCATCTCCTTCAAGGATGAACAATAATCCAGAGAAAACTTCCATATGAAACTTGTACTTATTCAAGGTGGTCCTTCTGTTGCCGTTCCAATCGCATAGTATGATGGTTGGCATTTGTCACAAAGCTATGATGGAAAGAAGTAAAAAAAGTGTTAAAGAAGACAAGAAGCTCCTGTAAAAAGACAATTGAAATTCAAATGAGTAGGGCTTATGGCTCAAGATAAATGTCGTTTTGATGTGCCAACTCCATAACTTAGGAGGGATGGAATAATTTAGTTTTTATTGATAGATATCTAATATGGAGACTGTATGCAGACTTACAAGGGCTTATTAGGACACATAACTATAAGATTGTCACTAATTATTCATTTCCTATCACCCGAAAGGACATATTAATCAAATCAAAATTATTCATTACAATTATTAGTTATAACATATTTATATCGCTGTCCCTCTATAACTTATGGTTCTTGTTGAGTGCCAAAAAAATCGCGATGATAAAGTGATTATTGAATGCCTCAGTCTTGCACTTAGATTCGACACACACACATATAATTGAACAGTAGTAAGAGAAGAAACAATTTTTTTTATGTGAAAAAGCCTATAGAAGAAAAAAATCATGGCCCTGGCCTAGTTAAAGTAGTCTACAATGAGTTTGTAAATACAAATATGTACTATTTGTGAATAACTAGGAGAGCAGGATTATATATTTACACCCGACATAATAGTTGTCTTTATATAAAGTATGAAAAACTTCATGAGTCAAACATGAATCATCCTATTCTGACTACGACGATCATAAGAAGTAATCATCGGAGTTATGGTTGGATCTTCAATAGAACGTTATATATTACAATCATATTTTAGATACAATTTTAGTAAGATAGGGTTGTCAACCAGTACAAGTAAGAGAGGCCAATGGTGGTTGACAGTTATAAAGGCTGGAAGTTATTGTCGTCTTCTAGACAACATTACACGTTACGACCATATTTGTGATACATCAGTAACAAGCACGGGTTGCCAATGGCAGCTAGCAGGAGGGTGGATGGTGGCAACGGTGGTAGGCGGCTATAGAAGCCAAAAAAATTTTGTCAGTTCATCAGTCTAAAAGAACACTGAAATTCAACTCCTCCCCCCTTTCAAGTGTCGAGCGAGGGTCTATTTAAGTCTTTATGGGGAGGGCCATTTTAGTTCTTTGGCAAATAACTTCCTCAATCATAGGATCAGGTGGCACATTTTGATCCTTATTTATCATAATGGTTTTTTTTATGATTTGGAGGCCCTAATTGTCACACCCCGGGTTGAAAATTTGGCACACCTGACAACGCAAAGCATGATGAAATGAAATGAACCAATTTTGCCTTTTCAAAGAAAGACTTTCAAGCAAAAAAATTAGGAATGTAAATGTTATCCATTTTGAATAGTCCACAGAAACAACTAAAATGAAAACAAAAAAAAAGTTGAATCAAAACTAAAAGGACAACATAAAACAACTACCCAGACTCCAAAATAAAACAATAATAGCTAAGATAAATATTGATAAAAAAACCAAAACCAGAAATCTAAAATTAAAAAAAGAGCTTCAGTGGAGACGGTCCTGCTAATGGCTAAATAAAATCTGTGATGCAAAATTATCGAGTGAGTTTGCCGAGCAAACTCAACAAATAACAAGTATTTATTGAAGCATAAAAAAAAGGGCCTACAATATGAACAAGTGCTTATAATGATTACTACGTGCATATATAACGTTGGAAGGCAATAAGAAAATGATAAACATCAAATATGCATATCTAATAAAAACATGCAACTATTTTCCATCAAGATTCTTATTGTTAAGTTTTTCATTTATTATATATATAGTTGGTTTTAATAAACACCTTAAAACTAGGAATATCAATACCAACCCAAAGAAGTCTAAAGATTTCCTATAGGTTCAACACTCTGTGGGTCCGTCGATCTGGCTAACCAAACTTCAAAAGAGTTCTACTGACCTACATACCATCACACACAAGCATGTCAAATTATTTTCACAGGTGTCATATGTAAGAACTACAATATTTCATGCATGCTTGTGATATGGCAAATGCATATTCATAAAAATAAGGTGCAGGAAAAAGAAAGTTCATAATTGCAGGATTAACTCAAGTATGCAAGAAATTTTGCAATAATAAATTAAGATAGTTACTGATTTCATCATGAGCAATAAATGATGCTTATAACAAATAAAAATTAAAGTAGCAAGAACATGTCTTTTTATTCCATAGATTGGCTCTTAATCTTATACAATTAATAAAAATTAATGACTTAACAAAGAAGGGTATGTTTATCCTCTAATAAAAATCAATTACTTACCTTGACACGACAAACATGATACTTTTATAAGTTTGACAGTTCGACTCTCGATCCTACACCAATTAAAAAATAGGATATAATGAATTATGAAATTAAATTTATTCATTCATTAAATTGTATCTATACTAATAGACTTATAGAGATTTAATATATGTATATATATAATAAGTTATTAATATTAAATTTTTAATAAAAAGAAATTATTAACTTACTTAGTTTTAACTTCTATAGTCAAAAATGTATTTTAATTTTATGTTGATATTGGAGAAAATTAAAATTTCTAAATTAATTGTTGGAGGATTTACATACATAACATCTAAAAACTTAATAAATAGTAAAAATAACTTTTTCAACTCCAACAAGATCTTGAATCTTGTTTCTCTTCGGCTTCCTTAAATCCTAGTATAGGAAAACCCCTTGTAGATGGATTTACAGATTCAGAGGAGTTGATGCGGTCGTGAGGGAGGAAGGCAAAGCAAGAGAAGGGTTACCTTCCTCAATGGTTTCGGGTAGGAACAGAGCAGAAGTTTCAGTGGTCTTTGTAAGCCTACGATCCAGCCATTGCCTTCTCTACAAGCTCCAAATGCAAGTATAGTAAGATTTTAAGGCACGAGAGACAACTTTAGATAGAAAAAAAAGCGGGGAAGAGAGAGTTGAAAATTGTTTCGGTAGAGGGCAATAAGACAAGGCGAGGTGGAGTGACTATGATGCCTCTGTTATATCATATAACATAGCGAAGTTGTGCGTTAGTCAATTTCAAAAAGCTTCAAAGGAGAGTGAGAACCAAATCGAGAAGGTATCAGAAAAGGAAAGGAAGGGGAACTTTTGCATGGGAAGAAAATGTAAGAAATATTTTCGATTCTTACATTATACCCTCCTTTATTGAATTTGGTCCCTAAATTCATATCTTAGTTCTGAAACAACTACATGTACTTTAAGATCATTTCTTTCTCAATCTCCCGTGTTACTTTTCATTCTATCTGGTTCTTTGAAAATAGTTTGACAAAATGCATAGAGCAAAAATGAAGTTGTCAAACTTCATGTTCAAAGATGTAATGTAGCACTTCTTCATAAATCAAGTCTCCTTTGATCACCAATGACTCGTACAAGATAATATGAGAATCATCATGCACATAATACCAAGGTAGTGAGATGTGAAAGTCATTGTGTACACCTTCAAGTTTTGAAGAAAAAGCCAAAATTGTATGAAACTCTGTTAACTTTCTCTATCACCTCAAAAGGACCAAGGAAACGAGTTTGAAGCTTTCTAGTTTGACAAAATCGTTTAACTTTGTGCATCAATGAAACCTTCAGAAAAATGTGATCTTTGACTTTGAATTCAATCTATATATGCTTTGAGCAGATATTTTTCATTTGACAGTCCTGAGCCGCATGTAGTCGATCTCAAACCTGATAAAGCTTCTCAATAGCTTGATCCACTAGTTGAGGTCCAAATATGTCTCTTGCGAATCTCAAACCAACATAATGAGGATCTACACTTTATGCCATAAAGTGCTTTGTAAGGCCTTATTTCAATACTAACTTGAAAGTTGTTGTTATAAGCAAATTCTACCAATAGAATATAGTCTTCCCACTGCCTCTGAAGTATAAAAAACAAGCTCTCAGTAAGACTTCTAAGGTCTTAAAGATGCACTCCGATTGTCTATCTGTATAAGGAGTAAAAGCATCAATGAAGTCCAATCTCGTGCCTATAGCTTCTTGCACTTGTTTTCATAGGCTGGAAGTAAATTTTCATCTTAATATGATAAAATGGCAGTTAAAATTTCTTGAAATTGAACATATTGTCTACATAGATCTTGGTTAAGTTATCCACCGAATAATTTTGTTTGATTAGTAGAAAAGGAGCTGACGTAGTTTGTCTATCAACCATAACCCAAATAGTATATTGTCCTTGCTTCGGTCTTAACAAGCCAACCACAAAGTACATGGAAATCTCCTTCCATTTCCACTCTGGATGGAAAGGATTTCAACAAGTTACCAGGTCTTTGATGTTTGACATTAACCATCTGACATGTCTGTCGTGGTTATCATACCAGACCACCAAAATAGTTTCTTGAGGTCTTGATACAACTTAGTGCTTTCCAGATGAGCAGAAAATGGAGTAGAATGTGCCTCACAGAGTATCTTCTATTTTAATCCCTTACTAATCTGGAACACACAGCTAATCCTGAAATCTTAAAATGTCATACTGATCGATTTCAATCTATTCTTTATTTTCTCTCTAAGATGTAGTAAGTCTACATCTATCATCTGAGCTACACGATCCACAAGTGTAAGTTGAACTGAGAGTTGATAAAAGCGAAGAGTAGCTCTTGTCGGCACTTTTTTGAGCTGAAGTCACTTAATCTCTCATGCTAACTTGTGCTCCTGAGTGATCATCAAATTTGCATACGTCAATGATTTTTCTTGCTTAAAGCATTTGTGATCACGTTCGCTTTACCAGGAGCTCTTAGTTGATCGAACAAATCATCTATACATAGGAGAGGGTACTTATTTTTCATGGTCACCTTATTTAACTCGCTATAATATATGCGCATTTGCATGTTTTCGCCTTTTTTTCACAAACAGAGTTGGTGCTCCCCAAGGAGAAACAATCGGCCAAATGAATCCCTTATCAAGCAATTCTTGTAACTGGATCTTAAGTTCCTGGAGTCCAACAGTGACCATAAAATATGGTGCTTTGAAATTTGAAGTGGTGTTAGGAAGCAGGTCTATCGTGAACTTGATCTCACAATTTGGTGGTTAGCAAGAACAATCTTCAAAAAATATATGAGCAAATTCTCGTACTACTGAAACACTATCTAAGCTAACACTTAATTTCTCAAAATCTATCACACGAGCTAGATAGCCAGCACACCCATGGAAGATTAGCTCATCTTATAAGTCTTAAATACTAAAATTAGAGAGAAAATAAAAGCTCTATTACCATTAAAGCAAAAAGCAATAGAGTCATGTACATAAAAGATCACCCATCTCTTACGACAATCAATAATGGCATGATATTTGCATAGTCAGTCCATACCTAAAATTACATCAAACTCAGCTAGTTGAAATACTATTAGAGTAGCATGCATCTGCAAGTCATTGATGACAATATTACAACCATAAACATACTGAGTAACTACCATAGGCGAGCTAGATGGTGGAGTGATTGATATATGTGATTGTAATAAAGAAATCAATGCACTAGGTGCAATCTGAATAAATGAGTTGCCCCAGAGTCAAATAATAACCTTGTTTGTTGCTTTAAAATAGGGATGATAAATGTCACCACATAAGATGCTTCATGAGCTTCTTCTTGCATTATAACAAATGCTCATGGTGGAATCGCCTGTCTTAGCTACTCCGAAGCTTGAGATTGTTGAGACTGGTATTAAATCATTGAAGGGCGTTGATGCAGAAGTGACGGTTGTTGAGATTGTTAGTATTGTTAGCACTGTGTTGTAAAGGGATAGAATTGATATAGTTGAGACACCACCACTTGTTGTGGCTATTGCTGAAGCTAAAAACAATTTCACTTTGTTTGACCCTTTTTGTGATGCTTTTAAAATTATCCTCCATTTGACTTATAACACTTATTCTCACGATGAGACATAGAATCTTTTTCCAGGGTGTTTTTCACTTAAAATTAATATTGAACTTTGAGGGGACAATAATTAGCTTTGTGGTCAAGATTATAACAATTGAAGCTTTTATTGATGATCAAGTTAGAAGTCCCAAAATGTTATTTCCCATAATGTACTCATCGAGGATTTGTTTTTGACTTTTAAATGTGGTGATTTTGTTGTTCCTTGTTTTAGGAACTCCCATTAGCTTGTGTATCATAATTCTTATGCTTCCCGACATGCTTTTCCTCCCAGGAATTGATCTATATCTCTACATGCATAGCTCGACCCACCAGCTCTCTATAATTCATAGAACATACACTTAACAGTCAATAAGCACCTTCAAATGTCTACTCTTAATCTTGCAAGTATGTGGTAGATCTTATGTCTTCATTTTGATTAATCGATGGAGTGAACGAAAAGATCCTGAAAAATTCTATCTCATACTCATGAACAGTCTTTGCTCCTTGCTCTAACTTCATTAAGGCATTCAGAGCTGGCTTGATCTACCATAAGAATAATGTTACTCTAGAAATAGATTCTCAAAATTCACCTAACAACTATTGGCTGGTCAAAAAATATTGTAGTTGTGACTCCCGCCAATCATCAACTCCTTCACGCTACTAGAATGTCACGATATCCACCTTATAATCTTTAGAAAACTTTCTTCCTTGAAACTTGTTCTCAATGTCACAAAGTCATGCATCAGACTCGATCGGGTCCATCTTACATTAAAGGTAGGAGGATGTGTCTTCAGAAATTTATCTATCACTCAATCCATGATACTCCCTTTTGTCAACAACATTGGTTGATTAGGTTGTGCCTCCACAATGGTAACTGGTGACACTGGTTGAGTGGCTTATGGTGTCAGTTGCACCGCTTACTGATTAGCTTGGATTAGCTTGGCTGATAGGTTGTGTCTCCACAATGGTAACTGGTGACACTGGTTGAGTGGCTTATGGTGTCAGTTGCATCGCTTACTGATTAGCTTGGATTTCTTGTCCAATTTGAGTTGCAAAACTAGCTTGTAGTGCTTGAGTAAACTGGGTCACAATTCCACAAGAGTTTTCATGTTTAGATTCAGTGCTCCAATTGTCTCAGTGGTTTGAGTAGGATCAACAAAACAACAATTAGGGGAGCGGAGACCAATAAAGACAAGCATATCATTTATAGTAGCTCTTTTGACTCCTCTTCCACGAGCGGTTGCTGCACCTCCTCTTTTCAGATACATCCTATGCAATTGAAATAAACACGAAATCAAAATTGCTTGAATGATGACTTACAAGAATAACATATCCTCTACCCAATCCTAAGAAGTCAAGGGATATGAGATACAGAGTCAAGAATGGTTAAATACAAAACATTGGCTCTCAAACCACTCTAATACACAATGGTCCATAAAGTGGCACACCCTAGCTAAGCAGAGCATGATGAAATAAAATGAACCTATTTTATATTCTTAAAAAAAACTTGCATGCAAAATAAAAAGGTAAATGTAAATTTTATATATATTGAATATCCTATTTATACAACTGAAATGAAAGCAAAAAACCAGTTGAATCAAAACTGAATATACAACATTGAACAATTACCCAAACATCACAAAGAAAACATAATAGCTTATGTAAATATAAAAAAAAAATACCAAAATTAAAACTAAAATGCTTGCTCTGGTAGAGACAATTCTGCTAGTGGCTAAAAAAAACTCGTGATAGAAAATTATAAGCGAGCAAGTTTAACGACCAAATTAAGCAAATAACAACTATTTATTGAAGCATAAATCATAAAGAAATTGTGGCGTGCAATATGAACAACCAACAATGATGATTACTGTCTGCATAAATAAGTTTTGAAAGGCAAAAAAGAGTAGTAAATATCAAATATGCATATTATTAGGAAAAATGCAATCATTTTTTTTATCTAATCTCTTATTATTTAATTTTTCATTTATTATTTATATAATCCGTTTACACACTGAAAATGAGAAGGTCAATACCAACTTTAGGAAACTAGATGATTTTCTGTAGAGTCATTATCATGTGGGCCCATCAACTTAGCTAGTCAAAATCTAAAAGAGTTATATCGACCTTCATATAATTACATACAAACATGACAAATAGTTTCCACAAGTGTAATATATAAAAACCATAATATTTCAACATTAATTTTGTACAAGGCGCAAAAAGAAGTCATTATTGCAACATTAATTCAAATATGCAAGAAATTTTGTAATAATAAATTAAGGAGATTAGTGATTTCATTATGAATAATAATTGAAACTTATAGCAATTATAAAAGTGAAGTAGCAAGAGCATAACTGACAATCCTATAAAATAACGATAATCTACTTTAATTAATATGGATCGACGCCCATAACTAGAAATGGTACGTTTATCCTCTAAAAAAAATCAGTTACCTCGAAACATCAAACATGATACTTCTATGATTTTGACGGTTCGACTATCGATTCTACATAAATTATAGAACAGAATATTATTAATCATGAAACTAAAATTATTTATTCATTAAATTAGGTGCATTCTGATAGACCTAAAAAGTTTTAAAATATGCATATATAATAGATTATTATTATTACATTCTTAGAAGAAGAAAATATGAACTTAATTATGGTTAACTAATATAATCAAAAAAGTATTTTGTTTTTAATTTATTTTGATATGGGAGAAAACTAAAATTGTTGAATTTATTGTTTGGGGATTTCCATGCATAACTCCTAAAAATTTTAATAAATAAATAAATAAATGATTTATTCAAATCCTACAAGTTCTTAAATCTTGATTCTATTCTGGTTCCTTAAATCCTGGTTTAAGAAATCCCCTTCGAGATAGGTTTACGAGAATCAGAGAAGTTGATGCGCGTGCAGGGGAAGGCAAAGCAAGATAAGGGTTACCTTTTTCAGTGGTTTTGGGTAGGAGCGAAACAGCCGACAATCCCGTCATTGCCTTCTCTGCTAACTCCAAATGACACGGTGAAGCTAGGGTTTAAGGCACAGGAGATAGTTTTGGGCGGAACCAAGAGGAGGGGAGGAGGGGATTGACAACGATTTTGGTAGAGGACTACAGGAGGAGCGTGAGGTGAGGAGAGTTCGTCCTCTCTTTCCTATCAGCTTATATCGCAGTGAGACGAAGGTGGCAGGGGAGAGCGGTTGCCAATCGGGAATGTAGAGGGAAAGGAAAGGGATGATTTGCGTTGGAGGAAAATGTATAAAAAATTTTGGGTTTTAGAACTAATGACTTTGAAATCAAGCAACTTTAAGCTCCTTCAATTTCTATTAGCAAAACTTTCAATTTGAATATAAATATATCAAATTTAGAGTTCATTAGATGATATAATTGATTATACAAATTCTTCAAAAATATTTTAATGACTTGATTCATGACTTCATGATTTTGGGGCCAAGCTACATTATATTTGCTAGACTGACTGAAAATTGCTTCATAGTCTTAATGACCTCTTTCGCTGTTTGTTCCCTAATGTTAAGAGTCATGGATTCGTGCTAGAGGGGCAAATGAGATGAGTTGAGTCGAGTCTAAGCCACTCTCATCCCAAGCTTGCTATTAGTTAATTAATTGGGTTTTAGCTTAATTTTATGAGTTCAAACCAGCTGGCGAGCCAATTTGTTTGCTATGAAATAAAAAAAATAAAGATTGATTGAAGCAAATGTTATAATACAAGGACAAATAAAGTGAGCAATTAAGAAATTAATAATAGAAAAACCTTTGATTCAAAATATAAAATATTATTCTGAATATTTTAAATAATTTAAAGATAAAGAACTAATTTTTTTAGCATATTTTATATTATTTTTTAGCAAACATGCTCTGAAGCGGAGCGCTATTTATATACAAAGAATGTATGCAGCTCTCCGTGCGTAATCCCCTCCCAATAACCGCTAAAATAACCTCTGTGAAAATAATTTGGGGTTATTGCGGAGTTATTTCGGCGTTATTTAGAGTTAGTACCATCCACGGTTACACTTTGCAGTTACACTTTCACATTTTCTTTGACGTTAGGATTTTGACTCCAAATAACATCAAATAACTACATAACAACCCCAATAAGGGGTTACAATAAGGGGTTATTGGTAAGAGAGTACGCATAAATATTTACCATCTATCCGAAATGGCGTCTAAAATATCTGACTGCGAGAAGCATCCCGCCGTAAAAGTTGGCAACAAGGCTGTAATCAAACAAAAGTCTCTAATAGAGACGTCTCTAATCATGATTAATTGACCAGATCATCTGGTTTTTGCTTTGATTTGGTCCAAATATAATACGAAACAGAGTTTTAATATGCAATTTAACTTTTATGTCATAATTTGAAGTCAGCGACGTGATAACATCTTCTTTACTTAATACTACAAATCTTATACAAACATGTAATTTTGCCACAATCACTTTGTTGGCCATTGTTTTTAAGCAAATCTACCTTCTAAGCCAGCACATGGCATTCAATTGAAGATTACAAAACATAAATACAATCTCATACTTCAACAATCCAGCTTCAGATTTCATCCATTGCTCGAAGCCATCACAGACCACGAATCGAGCTTCCATGACATGCATCCCTCAGCCTATCCAGCGCATCCACAACATTCCGCATCCATGGCCGCCTCTCCGGATTAGTCTGTACACAAGCCAAGGCAATCTTAAGCACCGCAACGATTTCGTCATCCTCACCGGGCTCGCGAGCCAGGAAAGGATCCAGTATGTCACAAAGCGGCTTTTTTTCTTCAATGCAGAACTGAACCCACTGCACTAAATCCATCTCTGATGTCTCCAGCAGAACGACTGGAGATCTACCAGAAATCAGTTCAAGCAATATGACACCATAAGAGTAAACATCCCATTTCTGAGATTGTTTTATGGTTTTCAGACCCTCAGGAGCTTGGTAGCATGATGCGGCAGAGCTTGCAGAGATTTCAAATTTATGTTTTTTATGCTTCTTTGCTGTGATTCTATCTTGTTGGGCTAATGGGAATGAACCAGAGGGGATTGTGAGGCGGCTGAGTCCGAAGTCGGAGATGTACGGTTCCATGTTTTGACCGAGAAGTATGTTGTTTGTTCTGAGGTTTCCATGTATGAACTTCTTTGGACTAAATTCATGGAGGAAGGACAAGGCCTTGGCTATTCCTTTAATGATTTTTAGCCTTATTTCCCAGGTGAGTGGCTGGGAAGCCATGGGACCTCTGCCTGAAACCATACGAATGTAACCATTAATATATGACGATCATATTTGTGAATTCATGAATTTCAATATTATATACTACTCGCAAAAGCTGAACAAACTATCAAGTTTTCTCTAATATATCTGAAATGAAATAACTTTTATGGTTCAATGCAATAGTTATAATCCTAACAAATAAAGATGAGAGCATCCATAACAGGATCAAACAGGGCAAATCAAAAGAGTTATTTTGAAAAATTAATCAAATCCTTCAATGAAAATTTGTGAAATTCTACAGCCTAAGAGAAAAACTTCAAACACAAGCCATAATCCAATATTAAAAATGCAATCCACTTAATTCAAACTAAAACAAGTAAATCATACAAAGCATAAGAACAATCAGGATAATAAAAACTAAAGCTTGAGGACATGCCGTGAATTGCCGAAGAAAGCTTGCCATTCGGTATATAATCATAAACAAGCAATTTCTCCTCTACCGACCAATAATAGGCTCTCAAACCAATAATATTAGGATGCTTCACCTTCCCAATAGCTTCTATTTCAGCCTTAAACTCACCAAACCTCTGCAAACCTCCATCTCCCAATCTTCTAACGGCTAGAATTAAGCCATCATCTAATGCAACCTTGTACACAATTCCAATCCCACTCTTGCCGAGCACAAAGGCCGAAGCTTTTAAGAGCTCGTCCAATCTTAAACTCATTTGAGGATCCAATGACACGAGATCGAGAAGCTCTACATTCTCAGATATTGTGTCGGATTCATCCTTGCTAAAGCAAATGCATTCCTTCTTCGTCTTTGAAACTTCTTTGTCAGAAATGGCACAACTTTGATTCTTTTTTGAAGCCATCGCCCTCCAATAACAGTAGAAGAACACCAGCGCAATCAAACAAATCCCAACCACATCGCTCACAACTAATGCAGCTGTTTGGCTGAAGGACAGCCTACTTCTTCTATCGCCATTTTTGATTGAGTTATAGCCCATTTGGTTGGGAGGAGAAGTAGTGATTTCCTTGGGAAGAAAAGGATCAGAAGAGGAGCATGGGTTCTTCAAAGGAGGGCCACACAGGCCGGGATTTCCAATAAAGGCAGTTGGTCCTCTATTCTCTAAAGCGCCATTCTGTGGTATTGGGCCGCTTAGATTGTTGTATGTCAGATCTATATAAACCTTCTCAGGAAGATGGCCGAGGCTCTCTGGAATCAGCCCAGAAAACAGATTATGGGAGAAATCAGCAGTTCCTTGGAGGTTTGAGAGATTCCCGATGTCAGCAGGTATGGAGCCATTGAATTTATTATAAGAAAGGTCTAGCTTTTCAAGAGCAAGCAGACTGCTTCCAAAGCCAATGGGGAGAAAATTCGTAAAATTGTTATTATTCAAATCAAGAATCTTTAACCTTGTGCAGTTGGACAATGAATTAGGCAGGGAACCGAAGAAAGAATTATGGGAAAGGTCTAAAACTTGTAAGTAAGACGAAGCGCCAATCTCAGAAGGAAGAGACCCAGTTAAGGAATTACCTAAAAGGACCAAGCTTTGAAGTTTCCCAGCAGAGAAAATCTCCGGTGGCAGAAATCCAAAGAGCCTGTTATTCCTTAAATTGATGTGTCTTAGAGATTGAAGAGAGCCTAGAGAAGGATGGATAGAACCTACAAGGTTCTTCTTAGGAATGCTCAAGGAGAAAACTTGTCCAGCCTTACATGTCACACCATTCCAGGAACAAGGGTCCTGAGAAAAAGAGTTCCAGTTAGCCATGGAGCCTTCAGGGTCCTGTGTAATGGATCCCTTGAAGGTAAGGAGCGAGAAGCCTTCGACATTGAGGCCAGAAACAGGAGGAGGAAGAAAAGGGTTGAAGATGAGAAACAGAAGAAGGTGGAAGAATGGAAAACCCATAGAAGCTGCTCTAGTTCTTCTCTGGAGGGAAAGGAGCAGTGACTTACAAGTGAAGGAAATGGATAACAAGAGTAGGAAAATGCGATTTTTCCGTTTTTTCCTGGGAGTAAGCTTTACTTATCTGTGCCGTGTGAGGGGGGCTGCGAGTAGAACCGAGCAGGCAAATGGAGTAGAAGATCAATCACCAGTGAATTGTTTGAGTGAGCTGGAGAGAGTGGGAAAAGAGAACAAAAATCTCACTTTTAGGAGTTCCACTTTTAGCCTCTGGTGCAAATGGCGCAAAAAAGGCTTTGTTTGGGGTCAATTTTATGTTTTGTTTTGTATTTATTTTTCACTTATTTTTTAAGGACAATTTTTTTAATGTGGTTAAGGTATTTTTATTTATTTATTTTTAATAAATAAACATATATTTTTAAAATACTCAAAATAAATTTTGGGTCTTTTTTATATTTTAAAAAATAATCGTATAGTAACCAAGCATACCAAACATGTTTTATTTCAAATTAAAACATAAACAAAATAAATTAACAATAAAGAATAGAAAACAAAAATTAAAACCCTTAAATGTTTACATTTCACAGCCAAGAATCAAGGCAAGTGCCACTAAATCAGTCTAACAAGATAAATGTGAAGTGCATATGTCATATAACTACCTAAGGGTACTTATGTAATATGGTAAGCCTAGCTACTAGAATATTTGGCAAAGGCATATATATGAGGTGTTGCTCCTGTATGAGATAATCAAGAATTAGTTTCCTCTATCTCCTCATGTTACTTGTGTTAGGGTATTAGAGCTACTATCCAAGCTTCATTCAGGCCTCCTCCCAACCAAAATAGAAATAATAACCTGCAGGTGCTGGAGAACCAGAGTACGTATTTTCAGTTTTCAAATATTCCATCCAAAAATACTAGGGCATCCAAAAAGGTCAGTCAGCATCTCATTGGCATTAAAGCATGTGAAATAACTATATCATCCCAACGAGGATCTCGATACGTCAAAACACATCTAGGCTATAGGGGTAGAGGACAAATTATCGAATCCCAGACAGCTGGCAGCTCATCAATGATCGAGTAATCGTGATGATGTAAACAAAGGAAAAAGAAGAGACAAGGCTCAACAATGATAGTAAAATGAGGGGAGGAGTAATCCTTAGAAGGTAGAGGTAGTGAGGTCAGTGTACCATAGACCCATCATCCTAAGCCACTAAGACCCTAAGTCTACCTGGTCGTGAAGATAGTCAACCTAAAACTTTCTGAGATCTCCGGTCAGCAATCCATGAATTGTGTCGTCCATAAGGGATCTCGATAGCCCTTAGGTCAAAAGAAGAAAATTTTATCCTATGACTATAAGCTGAAGCTCCAAGTGGTGGGACTTATACTGCCAAAGTGATGAGAATGTCTTAGGAAAAAAAGAGAAATGGAGGTTCAACTGCAAAGCTAGAAAAACTCTGATAAAATGACATACACCCTATTTGGATCGGGGAGCCTTATAACGACCTAAGCGCACTAGACAACCTTTTATGTAAAAAGGTATGTTGGGTCAATCGGATTGAAGAAGCACGAGGGCTCCTCCTCGGGACATATAATTTTGATGTAGTTATCTAGAGCGAACCTTAGATTTTGTGGAGGCCTTATTAAATTAAGTTGGGTAATATACATGCTATGAATCCCATTTTAAATGCAAGTTTTAAATGCAATAAAGTTAAAGACAAATTTTAATGTTCTGGATATTTTATTCCTAATTTTTAATTATCTTGCATATTTTATTTAAGATTATTTTAAGTAGAAAAATTTTAGGTTTAGAGTTGTTAATAAGCATAGATTATATTTTTCATAGAATCCAAGATGCACAAAAATAAATAATAAAAAGCAATCCTGGCATGCAAGACACAAGAAAGAAAACACTCCATAATATATAAAAGATGCTCAAATTGTTGTTGGGTCGTCAACTTATCACAGAAAAAGCGAGAAAATCAATTAGACTCCACATATACTTGCTCAATCCAAGATATATACAAGAATATAGAATTTGGACTTAAAGTAGAGGACTTGAGCTAACGCTTCCGTTTTCTGTCACATGGTTTGATGCGTCATCCACTTTGAAACCAGTGTATGTACCTTATTTATGATATATACTCCGCCTAAAGACTCTTACAAATATATATAATAGAGAAAATAAAAGACTCGACTTGCAGAAAATATGTGTTAGCAGGGAAAGCCATGCAACGTAAAATAGGTCATACCTTATAATTGATGACCTCACTTTTGGTTGAGGTCTAGAAAACTTCTTTAGTAGCCTAGGTCTAGCCATAGGACTTTCCTATTGACTAGTCTTAGAAAATTAGAAAAGGTACCCCCACCATTAGAAATTCAAAACTCTTCTTTTTACTCAACTTGAAATTCCACATATTGATCTTAACCTCTAGCATTTAGTAGGTAAGATCATTATAAGAGAATTCAAGAAGA